GAGTCTCCTGCCTCCACCTCCCGAGTAGCTGGGACTATAGGTACCCGCCACAATGCCTGGCTGTTTTTTGGTTGCAGCCATCATTGTTGTTTGGTGGGCTGGGCTGGATTCCAACCCTCCAGCTCAAGTGTATGTGGCTGGTGCCTTAGCCGCTTGAGCCACAGGCACCAAGCCATCTGGCTATTTTTTTTTGTTGCAGTTGTTATTGTTGTTTAGCTGGCCCAGCCTGGCCCGGCTGGGTTCAAACCTACCAGCCTTGGGCAGACACCGTAACCATTGTGCTATGGGTACCGTGACCAGGTATACTTTTTTTTTTAAAGGCTGCATAATACTTCGTCGTATGGAGTCCTGATTTACTTAGCCATTCCCTTGTTGATTTTGCTATTACAAATAATGCTAAGTTAAACATTCTTGGGCACTGATATTTCTGAACTTGAACCAATGTTTCTATAGGATAAAACCTTGAAGGGAAAACTGGTCAAAGACTAGGAACATATAAAAGTTTACTAGCCACTGCCAATTGCCCTCTAAAAAGGACATCCCAGGAACATTTATATATTTCCAATCTACCTAATAAAGAAATGGCCAGACCATTGATACCATTCCCACTAGATTGGTGCTTCATAGAGGATAGGGACCATGAACTCCTAAACATTAATTGAGCACCCCATTGTATGTAGAGATACAAAAATGAAAAGAAAGTACTTTCTTATCCATAAATAACTCAGAGTATAGTAAAGGAATCTACCGTCTGATCTATAGTCATACCCTTTATTACAAGGCCTAGAATATCATATGAACTCAGTATATGATTACTGTGTAACTACAGTGTTTCCCTTTGTCAGAAAAGTACTATTTGACAGAACTTCTCAGTTTTATCAAATGAACCAGCAGGTAGTTTTGGAGTATGAATTTCCTTTCTATTTTAGGCATTGTCTATTGGAAAAAGGAAGTTGTTATCTTTAGTCTATACCCTGTGACTATTATTTGATTGCTGCCATTAATAAACTTAAACTTTTTTTTCTTGTTCTCCGAATATACAATATACAGAAATGGAAGGAGGGTGAGCCATTGGGAGCTTTACTCTACCATTAAGCATTTCTTTAAAAGCTACTTCACATTTGCACTTAGGTCACAGAGCTTCTGTAACTTTAGGGTGAACCACCATCATTGAAAAGGTGGAACTTGGGACACTGGGATGTGAGGGCAGAACCTTGAGCTCCAGCATGCTATGTTTAGGACATTTAGCCTTCTCTTACTAATCCCACTCAGCTCAGATTGTCCCTTTTTTTCTGTGTCTCTTTAGCACTTACGTATTCAGTTTGCGCTGTGTTAATCTGCACTTATTTGCATGTTGCTTTGTAAGTAATTTAAAGGCTTTCTTTTTTCCTCTCACATATGTATTGTTCTCCAACTAAAGTGCAAGCTTTTTGAAGGCAGAAACCATGTCTTTGGTTTCTTTTGTTATTTCCCATAGCACCTTTTACTGTGAGAGTGGGCATACGGTATATGTTGTGGAATGGCATCCTGAGTGATCCCTCCCTGGCTGGGCCTAAGATTAAATTTCCTGAAATGGAACAGTCCTAACCAACCCAGGACAGGTATTCTCCATCTGGCATGTTGGTTGCTCCTTTCAACTTGCTATTTGAAATGGCTCCCTTCAACATCTTTTATCCCCAGCGTGGGATTTGCCATGGCTGATGACATGCTTGCTGTATGTGTTCCAGGCAAGTCTGCGGACACCAGAACTGACCTGGGAGCGAGTGAGGTCCCAAGTTGACCATGTGATATGGCCTGATGGGAAGAGGATAGTACTGCTGGCAGAGGTAAGACTGAGGCGGGCCAAAGGTACTCCCCCTTGACAGGAAAGACTGCAGTACCCGGGTCCCCTCCTCCTCATGTTCTCTTATACTTTCAACTCTTTCTCTTAGGTACAAGTTTGACTACTTTGCCAGAGGATTTTACTTCTGATTGTGAAAGATCTTTTCATTCAGCAATTAAGAAACTATTTTGGTTCCCCATTTTTCACCTATTATCTTGTCTCTCCATGTCAATCCACAAGTTGAGTCAGATAATGACTATTACTGTGGAAGGAATTCACAGATAAAACCAATGCCACTTTGAGTGATACTAACAAAGAGATAATGTCATTTGTGGGATGCGTTAATCAGTGAGTACCGAGTAGATAGTTACAGTCAGAAATATCTATCTTGGGCCAGCTCTGGGAAAGTCATTGCCTTTGCTGGTAGATTTCCTGTTCTTGAGTGTTTGTCCCCTTGAATTGACCCAAAGGTATAGTAGGTACCCAGGTATATATTGGTTGCTGGCTTCTTCTAGCACACACTTACTCCTGACTTGCATTTTGCTTAGCCTCTCACATCCATGTTTGACCACTTTTCCTTTCTTGAAAGCTCCTCTTCCCTGGTCCTGGATTCCTGACAGGTATGGTGATACCCTCTGTGCTTGCCTTGTAAGCTCTCTTGTCTTCAGAGAAAGATGTCAAAATCACAAGGAAGATAGTATTTTTCTTAGGTTTTTATTTTTAGTCAGTTTTTCTTTCCTTTTTTTATATTATAGAAATTGAATGTGAAAATGTAAGATATACGGTCTTTGTCCTAGGGGCCCATAATGTTAGGTCTTAGCATCCTTACTGTTGTTCTCTTCAGCTTTTCTTCACCTTGTCAAATATTTCAGGGCATCTGTTAAGGAAATGAACTATTTTCTTCACTAAGAAGGAGAGTGTATGTGAAGATGGTTAGGTTGTTAAATATGCATAAGTAGCTTTGATGTCAGCCCACTGTCTGGCAACTTATTTCTAGTTGTTCTGGGAAGTCCTGCTTAGTAATTTTGGTGGCAAAAACAAGCACCACAGGTGTTTGTGGCTACATGATTGAAAAATAAAGGTGATTAGGTTTCCTAGGAAACAAACTAGGAAAGGATGGTGTGGGGCAGTTTCCCGCCCTTCTTCTGTCTGAACACCACTTAGTACATAAGGTTGCCTTGAATTTGGGAGAACCAGACTGAGGAAGAAGCACAGAAATCACCACAGCTTCCTAAATCCGAAGATATCTCCCCTCTTACCCTGGAGAGATTGCCTCTGGATTTGACTAATTATTGTTTATTTTAGGACAGTCTTTTTTCTTTTTTTTTTTTAGAGATAAGAGTCTCACTTTATCGCCCTCCGTAGAGTGCCATGGCATCACACAGCTGACAGCAACGTCCAACTCCTGGGCTTAGGCAATTCTCTTGCCTCAGCCTCCTGAATAGCTGGGACTAGTAGGCACCCACTATAATGCCCGGCTATATTTTTGTTGCAGTTTGGCCAGGGCTGGATTTGAACCCGCCACCCTTGGTATATGGGGCAGGTGCCCTACCCACTAAGCCACAGGTGCTGCCCATTTTAGGACAGTCTTTTAAAAAACATGCTGATCTTCTGAAGGATATTTTGCTAGAGAGTAAAAAATTTAAGAGAAATATACCCACCCTTGGCATAAGCTTCAGCATCATATGACCATCTGTATTCCTTTTTACATAATTCCAGAAATCTTTTAGCTATTACCCTCATCAAATTTTCCAGAATTTTTAGTGTTTCTTCTAAATGTCAGTCAGTTCCTACTTATCGAACACCTGATTTTTGTCCAGCAATGTCAGTTGGGAAGTGTTTGGAAAAATGGCAGTTATACCCTCCCTCACTCTCCAAAGGCCAGCAACTTTGTCTTAACCATATTTGTGTCTTCACCTTTGACCACTAGGGCCGTCTGCTGAACCTAAGCTGCTCCACAGTGCCTACATTTGTGCTCTCAATCACTGCTACTACTCAGGTAAGGCTGCCAGAGAGGGATACCAGTAGGCTGGAGAGAGTCCTCAGACCAGCGGTCTCACTTGATATGGGGAAGATTGCTGTGCATGGCACTCAGTTTCCTTCTCTCTGCTTTTCTAGGCTCTCGCCTTGATAGAGCTTTACAATGCTCCTGAGGGACGCTATAAGCAGGATGTCTACCTGTTGCCCAAGAAAATGGGTAAGCACGTGGTCTTCCATCTCAGCCTTACCAGAGTAGTTCAGAGTCAGAGGCTGAAGGAAATTTGAGGACATTAACTTTCTTAGGATTAGGGGAAAAAAATATCTTATAAAGTAGGAGCTAGGATTCATAGGTTCCATTCCCATTGAGTTGGGCCTTTATCCACATGGGTTGTCCTTGTGAAGTTGGGACATTTTGCTGTGATTTAGTTTACCTGCCTGGGAATTTTAAGGATATTCTCTCATAAAGTATCTCATTCAGGATCACATTTCAGGAATCACAAAGGAGAAAAAAAAATTCTTTCCCCAAAAGAGAGGAATCACTTCCTACCTTGTGACATCTGACTTAATCTAGTTCTAAGTAACTCCTACCAAACTTTCCCCAGACCATATGAATCATTCTCACTGTATTTTTTTTTTTTTTTTTTTGGTGAGACAGAGTCTTACTCTGTTAGCCAGGCTGGAATGTGGTGGTCTGGCATGATCATAGCTCACTGCAGTCTTCAACTCCTCCCAGGCATAAGCAGTCCTCCTGCCTCAGCCTCCCAAGTAGGTAGGCCAGGACTATGGGTAAGCACCACCACACCTGACTAGTACTTTTTTTTTTTTTTTAATAAAGACAGAATCTTGCTGTGTTGCCCAATCTAATCTCAAACTCTTGGCCTCATGCACTCCTGCTGCCTTGGCCTTCCAAACTGCTTGGGATTATAGGCATGAGCCACCACACCCATCTTCTTACTACACCTTCTAAGGCTAACCCCATTGTTTTGGACTAAAGGGCAGACTCAGAGTGGCTCCTATTCAGAGTTTAGTTATGTAGGTATTTTGTGTAAGAGTAACATTAAACTAACTTAAATTTTTAAGGATCCTACCTCAAGCACCTGAACTGATCCAGTGTATTTACACACTCCTCAGGCAAAGATCAGGGAATAAATCACCTGGTTTTGTTTTGCTTTAGCACTAGGTGCATAACAACTGTTAAAAGTTGATATAGTTGGCTCTGCGCCTATAGCTCAAGCGACTAAGGCGCCAGCCACGTACTCTAGAGCTGGTGGGTTTGAATCCAGCCTAGGCCTGCCAAACAACAATGACAACTTCAACCAAAAAATAACCAGGCGTTGTGGCAAGCGCCTGTAGTCCCAGCTACTTAGGAGGCTGAGGCAAGAGAATTGCTTAAGCCCAGGAGTTAGAGGTTGCTGTGAGCTATGATGCCATAACACTCTATCCAAGGCAACAGCTTGAGGCTCTGTCTCAAAAAATAAATAAATAAATACATAAAAGAAAAGTTGATATAGTTTCCCTTTAATAACCCAAAGTTACTTAGACACTTTGGAAGGATATAAAAGAAACAGAGCAGTCCGCATTCTGACTAAATGTATAATGAAGTTGAGGAGACCAAACAGATACATGAGAAATGACATAAAATTATGAATAAATACTGGGTGTTCAGATAATAGAATATGAACAGAAACACATAAGAACTAAGAATACTAAAGGCAAAGTACACAGTGTAGCATCCTTCTTAGGTATTCCTTTATAGTTTCTGCAGATGTTAGTTTTTCTAAATAACCCAAAGTTACTTAGAAAACCAAGGCAAAATTCAAGTGACAGCTTACCATTTTTTAGTCCCCTTGCTATCTCATTCTTTTAGATCCTGAGGCCTATTGCTTTCATCTCTCCCTTACCTTTCTGAGAGAAAGAAAAGTTCAAGGCTGAAAGAGTTAGAAATGTTATGGAAGAAATATTATAGCTTTGAAAAGCATGTGCTTGAAGCTGATGGTAGCCGTTTTTTAAAAATTGAGGACTAGCAGGCCAGGCACAGGGGCTCACACCTGTAATCCAAGCACTCTGGGAGACCCAGGCAAGTGAATTGCCTGAGCTCAGGAGTTTGAGACCAGCCTGAGCAAAAATGAGAGGCTGTCTCTACTAAAAATAGAAAAACTAGCTATGTGTTGTGGCAGGTGCCTGTAGTTTCAGCTACTCAGTAGGCTGAGGAAAGGGGATTGCTGGAGCCCAAGACTTTGAGGTTGCTGTGAGCTATGATACCACAGCACTCTACCCAGAGCACAGAATGAAACTCTGTCTCAAAAAGAAAAAAGAACTGAGGACCAGTGAGCAAAAGTTCAGCATTTTTTGTTTAGCTCCAGGGTATTAGATGGTTACTTCTGACTTTTGAAGGCCTAACTTGGGGAGAACAGCCAGATAGGAGGCAAGAATGCTCATACCAGGTCTTCTGTGTTCTATTCCAGATGAGTATGTGGCAAGCTTACACCTGCCCACCTTTGATGCCCACCTGACAGAGCTGACAGATGAACAGGCCAAGTATCTGGGACTCAACAAGAATGGGCCCTTCAAGCCTAATTACTACAGGTAACTTGGGCATCCCCCCAAATCAGGGACACCTGGGTAGTGAAGTGCTTTCCTGCATTAGAATTGGTCTTTGTGGCTCGGCGCCTGTGGCTCAAGTGGCTAAGGCGCCAGCCATGTACACTCAAGGTGGCAGGTTCAAATCCAGCCTGGGCCTGCCAAACAACAATGACAACTGCAACCAAAAAATAGCCAGGCGTTGTGGCGGGCGCCTGTAGTCCCAGCTACTCTGGAGGCTGAGGCAGGAGACTCGCTTGAGCCCAGGAGTTGGAGGTTGCTGTGAGCTGTGATGTCACAGCACTCTACCCAGGGTAGTGCTCTACCCACAGCACTCTATTCTACTCTACTCTCAAAGACCAAAAAGAATTGGTCTTTGTATCGCAGACTACATACATGTACATGAACTCAGAAAAATAAACCCACCCCCTTCTCAGTGCCACCCCCAGAGGACTCTTTAAGGACTTAATTATTGTTCCCCTTCCTGAATTTGCCTTTCTATTTCATCCTCTTGCTATGATTTTTCTCTTTATGGAGAAATACTGGCCTTTTTCACTAATGTGCAAGGGGGCCACAGTTATCTACCCTTACCATATACTCCAGAAAAGTCCCTGACTACCTGTCTCTCCTTTAAGCACCTTGATCTCCCAGCAACCCCACTAGCTGATAACATCACAGTCTCATCTTTCTTTTTCCCTCTAGGTATTAAGTTCCTGTAACTCAAGCCAGAAGTTTTAAGGAATAAAACTCCAAGCCTTTTCTCCACTACTATACAAGAAAGAATTCAGCAAGCTGCTTCTCTAATCAGAGCTGCCCGCCGTGCTCATCCTATGTGTTAGATTATTTATTTATTAAAATCTAGAATCCTGTGCCTGTAGCTTTGGCCCAGAGTGTGGTTACTGCCCTGAGGGCCATTGAGAGTCACAGAGGACAGCCCAAGGAAAGAAAGGCATGGGGTAACTGCTCCCACTGCATCGTTCGTGTCATTCCCTGTGGACTCTGAATCCTCAGCAATGCCATTTTTCTCTTGTTCAGGCTCAGGAGTTAGTCCAGGGATTCCAGACCCCTTGTTCCTTGGGGGGTTTTGGAAAAAATTATCAGCAGCTGCCTTTCTCAGCTTTAGCCCTTCCCCAGGTAAGGCCTTTTGGAAACCTCTGAATTAACACAGCCTTGACCATCACTGTCACTGCCTTCTTTATACAAAGGCTAGTAAGGAAGGAATGTTATTTATAGCTTTGTCAAGCTACCCCAAGAATTCAGCTTTGCTGTGCCTATTGGGGGTCTCCTTCCTTACCCAGGACTCCTTTCTTCTCCTTGAATATTTATGTTCATTTTAATGCTTTCTGGTTCCTACAGGGATGTGCCTCCATTATTTCCTCCACAGCTCTGGTGTTAGACATTTATTTTGTTGTCTTTCTAACCCAACCAACCTCTGCTCAGGAAGTGGGGACCACATCCATTAGGCCCCATAGTTTTACTTTTCCTTGTCATTTAATTAGTTTCCTGAGAAGCCTTTCCAGATTGGCACTGTCTCAGAAAGGAGGTTTTGTGTTGAAACACTGCTTCCTGAAAGTTCTGCTGTTGCCTAAAACTACTTCTGAAAGTAGGTAGGGAAAGGCATACTTTCCCAGGGATTTATGGGTGTAAGGCTTTGGAAATGGGACAGATGTTTCAGGCCCACAGCATGACACCCTAAAGGAATAGTATATTTATTTGTTTCCCAGAAAGGTTTTTGCCGCTTGACTGACTGAAGGATGCAGAGATGACATTGTAGGCTGTATCCAGATGATCAAAGCTAGTTTGACCAGTTTGCATCTCACAGACATTTCATCCCTTTGGCCATTGCCTTTTATGAAACTGAGATCTGCAACCTGTGGTCTTGCCTCTCCACTTACTTAGCCTTTATGATTGACCTCTTCAACTTAAAGATTCTATATTTCACAGACAGTTTCTTGAGTAACTCCAACATTACAAAATATTAGTAATGTAAGCAGTGTGAAATTTTATGTCCCACCCAAGAACTGGATTCCTTTTGGAGACTGACACGTTAGTCTCAGGAGTTGCACTAGAAGCAGATTAGTTCTAAGAGTTAAAATCTGGAGTGGCCCTTGCAATATTGAATTAAATGAGTCCCTTTTCCCCTTACCCAATTTAACGCTCTGTTTGTTTCTCATTTTTTTCCTATGCTGGTCTGCCTCAAAGTCTCAAGACTGAGGTGACTCAAGGAAACAACATAACATCTGTGATCATTGTAACTTTTCCGTCCTTATTCTCCCCTCAACCGTTACCCTCTTCAACTTCCCCTGGTCTTCACATATGCCCTCAGGCCTTACTTTTGGAAGAAGGGAGGTGGAACTTGGAAAAATGACTATTTGTATACAGGCTCAGCACACACGGTCCAATTCTTCAGAGGCCATATGTCTCAGCAAGTATGGAGAAGTGCCACATACATGGCTGTATTCTTTTATATAAGGAAGATCATAAATGCTGAAAATTCCACTAAGCCACTCAATTCTTTTTGCTTACCCAGTTCTGATTTTTGTAGTAATTAACTGGATCCCTTTAGTAAAAGATTCAGATCTTTGTACCTCATCATATATCAAGAGAAGATTCCATTCAGCAGATATATGGACTCTAATCTATTATGTTCCTACACCAAAAATCATAATCTGCTGATTCTCAGCAAAGCCTTGCTCTCTGTGGAGCTTAATGTATGCCGGTACTTACAGAGTGTACTCTGCCTTGTCATAGTGAAGAGGCCCATTCAAATAAAAAAGGAGCCACACTGGGCTTCTAAGTTAGGTTGCCAGTGTTGCTGTCTGTGATGAGGTATCTGCCTCTGTGTTTCAGGTGAACTCTCTTCTTACACTCTGGCAACCCTGTGTCAGCAACCATTAAGAAGGAGGCGGCCCAGATTTCCTGAGTATTTGGGTTCTGTCTTAGTGTTGGAAGTCTGTTCATTATTCCCTCCACCCTTGGAATCAGAGCAAATGTGTCTTCTTCCAACTTCTCACCTTAGATGCATCCTAGCTATCTATCTGGAAACATGGGAAAGAAGGCTAATTATCTCTTTGTCTCCTTGCCTGTGAGGATACATACTATTTTCTCTACAATGAATTTGTGATAGTTTTCAAGACTTTTTGCCTTCTTAAGGGAAATAGCTTTCTTTTCCTCAAAAAAATATATATCTAGTCTACTTCCCTCTGCCCTCCTGCCCCCTTACTCCCACCCTGCCATATGAGCACGGCTGCCCAGCCACACACTCCTGCAAAGCTTTTTGCTGCTTAGCTTTTCTCTAAACAGATCTGAAATTGCTGCTCCTGTGGTTTTCCCCAAATTAACTTTGTCATGGTTTAAAAAAGGAATCAAAATGCAAAATTGTTGCATTAAGCTTTTTTACTAAAGGAAAATTATGGAAGGAAAATAGGCAACACCAGCAAATTATATGTGGACAAGTTCTAAACTATATACACACATATATATACACACACACACACACATATATATATAAGTAATAATCTAGTTCTGTCATCTTACTGAAAGGAATAAAAACCTCTAAGGATCACCATTTCTGAGAAGCTCTTGGAAATCTTTATGTCTAAGTGATTGTATTAGATCAGCAATAATGACTATGTAATCTCAAAACACAAATAAAATATTCTTAAAATGGATGCTTGTCTTAAGAGGATTCTTTGCTTCTGTGAACGAGGAATTCAGAGATGAGAGAGGTCTCTGGGCAACAAGCTAGAGAACCTGCTGTTGGGTGAGGATGTACAAAGCTGAAAGTTACCAGTAGGCATGTTTGAATGGACTTAGCTTTGATGGTAAATATCTTGTCTGCCCGCTCCTTTGCCCTTGCCCATGCCCTCTACACTCTGGCTGTGTGTGTTTATAACTTCCCAAACCGACCTTGGCAAGTTGAGAATTATAGGCTAAGGGAGAGGAACTAAAGCATGTTTTAGATCCCCCGAGCCCTCTGTGTGCTGCCCTTACCTGGAGAGCTTAAGAAGTCAGCATCTTCACAGTTTAGGCCCAAAGGATCCTGATACCCAAGACCTGAATGTGTTTAGCCAAACGAAAGAAAGGAATCAATCAGAGGTTTGTCTCTTAAATCAGGTTGTATGACTAAATTAGTAATCAGAGGATAAATCCAACTAGCCAGGTTCAACTTTGGATAGCTTTCTGATAGGCACCTTATTTAGTGGACAACTTAAACCAGTTCTGCATCCTGTTCGCAGATGTTTTCTTTGTTTAACAAGGTCTTCTACCACTTTGACGTCTATTTATTTAGACTAAGGTTCACAGGGCTAGAATAGTCTGGGATGTTGATAATGCTCAAAGCTGGTGCCATTTCAGGTAAGAGGGAAAATGCAGCCACTAGCAATGAAGCCTGTGAGTTTGTTCCCCTAGGGTAGGCTTGACTCCTCTCTTGTGAAGGACGGAGCCTAGGTCTTAGTTTCAGATTCATGAGATAAGCCCAGACTGCCCACTGCCATGAACATTTCTCCACCCCCCAGTATTGTGGAAAGAGCTTGGATTTTGAATCAAACTAACTTGGATTTGAATCCTAGCTCTGCCATTGTATAACTTGGCCCAATTATATAATAACTCAGAGACTTTCTTGCCTGTGAAATAGGTAATGATTATCTCCAGGGGAAGGAGATAATCCTTAATGATTTGATGTGTAAAAAATGCTGCTTATGGAGCCTGGCACACATTGCTGACTGCATAAACATCAACTCCTTGTCTCAGGCCCTACAACCTCCATTGCATCATTATATCCACACATGCCTTTTGTGGGAAGAGAAGGATGTTTTATTCTTTTTCTACTATATTATCCTAGCTGCGTGCTAGACTCAAAAAGCAGGTACTTTAAGACTTCTGCATTGGGGGGTGGCACTTGTTTCTCAGTGAGTAGAACGCCGGCCCCATATACCCAGGGTGGTGGGTTCGAACCCAGCCTGGCCAAAAGACTTCTGCATCAGGCAGCGCCCCTGGCTCAGTGGGTAGGGCGCCAGCCCCATATACTGAGGGTGGTAAGTTCGACCCGACTCCGGCCAAACTGCAAACAAAAAAATAGCCAAGCATTCTGGCATGCACCTGTAGTCCCAGCTACTCAGGAGGCTGAGGCAAGAGAACTGCCTAAGTCCAGGAGTTGGAGGTTGCTGTTAGCTGTGATGCCATAGCACTCTACCAAGGGTGATAAACTGAGACTCTATGTCTCTGAAAACAAAAACAAAAACAAAAAACCCCAAAGACTTCTGCATCTTGGCTCAGCGCCTGTAGCTCAGTGGCAAGGGTGCCAGCCACAGACACTGGAACTGGCAGGTTCGAATCTAGCCCAGGCCTGCCAAACAACAATGACAACTACAACCAAAACGAAAAAAAATAGCCAGGCATTGTGGTGGGCACCTATAGGTCCAGCTACTTGGGAGGCTGAGGCAAGAGAATTGTTTAAGCCCAACAGTTAGAGGTTTCTGTGAGCTGTGACGCCACCTCTGCTGAGGGCAATATAGTGAGATGGTCTCAAAAAAAAAAAAAATAATAATAACCACTTCTGCATCTTATTTTTAAGCTTTATCAGTGCCAGATGCTATCTATTTAATCAAATATCTGACCTCTGGGTTAAAGTAGAATGCTTACATGGGGAAAATAATATATTTGATCCTTATAACTATACCTATTTATACCTGTATTACTCTGCTCAAGTTTTGGAGAAAACCTGAATTCTGGGACAAGGGAAATTGGTAATGTAGGTTTTTAATAACTTTAGAAACAACAAGACTGGAACCATATCTGTAAGAAGGTAAGACTTGTAGACCAGCCTTGACTACTTCCAGGTTTGGGTGCCTTATGGGTGCCTCTGTGACTGATGGTATTGATGACTATCAACTCCTTTGCTGACAAGGAAGTTAAAAAGAAATTACTAATTCCTGGTCAGGTGTGGTGGCTCAAATCTGTAATCGTAGGATTCTGGGAAGCTGAGGTGAGTAGATTGCTTAAGCTTAGGAGTTTGAGACTATCCTGAGCAAGAATGAGACCCCATCTCTACTAAAAATAGAAAGGCATTATAGTGATCACCTACCTGTAATCCCAGCTACTTGGGAGCGTAAGGCAGGAGGGTCACTTGAACCCACCAAGTTTGAGGTTGGTACAAGCTATGATGATACCACAGCACTCTACCCAGGATAATAGAGGGAGATTCTGTCTCAAAAAAAAGTCAATTCCATGGCCTGTAGTTTCAAAGTTTTCAGTTAATCTGTGGTTTCTTGTTACTTCTTCCAGTTACTTCCAGTTACCTTCCTCCTTATGACACGTTCTGAATATCTGGGCCCATAAGGAGCAGATGTCTGATCTTCACATTCTTCCATTCCACTCTAGTGTGGAAAAGATCATGGATTGAGGTCTCTCCTTATGATTTTTTGTAGTCTTTGCATCAGTTTTTGAAATTCCTTCTCTGAAAGTAAAGCCAGATGGAGCTCTAGGCTCAGCAGTTGGCTTGAGATGGAAGCCAAGGGGACTTGAGAGCTGTCCTCTATCCTACTCCCAATTGAAGATCAGCCTTCACTCTTTGCTTTAGGAATAGGCAGGGAAAGAATCAAAGCCTCAAAACCGGCCACTCTTTCTGCCACCAGTATTGGGATCCTGCTGATTAACCAGGCTTACAAAAGAATTTGAAGTTCAGGGCTTGTCAATCCTAGGGCTGTTGGGAAGAGGAACTATTGGGAAGAAGAAAGGGAGAATAAGGAATTATTTTTATTAAGAAACCCCAGTGAACTGTGCTGTGGCAGTTTTATCACACTGAAGTAGGGATGAGTCAGGCGTGGGTTGTGAATTTTAAAGCGGGGTGTAAATTTTTGAGAGTTTAACAATTACACCCCCTACCCCCCCAAATCAAATAAATTAGGCCTTGAGCCAGAAACTTTCATGGAAATTCATACCAATTCAGTCTGTAAACCAGTGAATTTCAACGGGAGATTTTGTCCTCCACCTAGGGGACATATTACAGTACCTGGAGACATTTTTGGTTGTCACAACTAGGGGGGAGGGTACAACAGGAATATAGTTGAGAAGCCAGGGAATTCTGTTAAACATCCTGCAATGGGACAGCACCCCCCCATAAATAATTTTCAGCCACAAATGTCACTAGTACAGAGATTGTGAAACCCTGTGTTAAACATGCATAAACAAGGCATACGCAAATGAATGAAACTTGGTCCTACTCTCTAAGAAGCCTATGTCCAGGTTGGGTTAGGAGTAGGTATGGGAGAGGAAAGAGAAGATGGATGTGTATAGTAAGGTGTGTTGGGGCTCAAGGAGAGAAAGGAACCCAGAAAGCTCCAAGGAGTGCTCTCAAGCCTGCCCTGTTCTGTCACCTTCTAACTAGCAGAAGGAAGAGTGAGCGGGAAATATGGTAAGAAAGGGACAGAGTTGTCCCTAAGATACCAAAAGGGCACATAATGGAAAATGTTAAGACTTTGAATCGAGGCAGAGTTGGCTTGACATCAGCATAGCCTGAATGGGTTAAGGAAGGTCAAAAGGCTTTATGCAGGAAGAGGTGATAACTAAGTAGAATCTATAAGAAAGAAAGAGTCAACCAAGAGAACAGAAGATTCCTCTAGAAAGCAGCGTATGGGAGACACTGAGACAGAATATACCTTGGGAGTTGCAAGGAGTAATCAGTGAGTCCTGGTTTCCTCATCAGTAATACTGGATTAGTGAAAATAACCTGTCAGAGAGAGTTATGATATCAATATACTAGGAGATTGCCTAGTGCAATGCCCAGCACAAAGCACAGTTCGACATTCCCCGAAATCCCCTTTTTAAAGCAAACAAACTATGGATAGTTATGTGGTCCCACCGGTTGGTTCCCCTCAGCCTACTTGTTTGGGTCTCTATTAACAAGTCAGGGTGCTTAAACATTTACTGCAAGCTGCCATTGAGACAAATTCAAGAGAGGGCAGACTCATCAGTTTCTTTTGACCCTTAAGAAGGATCTCAGAAAGGAGAGTGGAAGGAAGGAAAGGACTGGGAAGCAGGTGAGGATGGGGATCTGATCTTCATTCAACATTTACTTCCCAGCTCACCTCCACGAGGAAGGGTTCCCACAACAGTAGTGAAGGGCCAATGAGCTGGAGCAGCCCTCGGCAGCAGCAGTAATTTCAGTAAAGTAAAAACGCCCTCACCCCACCGCTCAACCCCGTTTCCCACCCAAGCAAACTCGGCGTTCTCTCCAGAAATTTTGGCTTTCAGAAAGGACGAGTCCCTCGATGTCTTGGTCACCTGGCGGTCCCATCCCTCCCTTGCGACTAAGTGGGATGTGTGACGTGCGCAGGAGCCAGCGTTTAGGGGGGCCGGGTCTGTGGTAAAGGAGAAACGGAGACTGCTGTGAAGTCGGAGCGTAGACTAGAGCTCCTGGAAAAGGTTTCTATTGAGGCAGGGGTGAGTGCTAGTGCTAAGACAGGCAGAGATAACTCGCCTGAGCTCAAGGCCCAGAATTTAGCAGATGGAGCCGGGAGCCAGTGTAGAAGTCGCGGGCTACTAGCAAGGCTACAGGTCTAAAGGGAAAGATTTTAAAAAATATAATAAATAAATAACCTCCTGGATCAAGCCCCCACCCTTCGAGTCCCGCTCCGGCCGGTCAAGCAGCCAATCGCGTCGCGGGGCGGTTCTGCGGTGAACGGTCGGAGCCAATAGAGATGGAGGGGCGGAGCTGGGCTCCGGGAGCGCGGCTGTGGGGTCGCCTGGGGCAGAGCGCGCTGAGCCCTGAGGGGAACCGCTGCCTGCTGCATGGAGGACCTGGCGGTGCCCGGGGCCGGGGGCCCGCCAGCCAACGGCAACGGCAATGGCAACGGCAACGGCGGCGGCAAAGGGAAGCAGGCTGCCCCCAAGGGCCGCGACGCGTTCCGAAGCCAGCGGCGGGAGTCGGAGGTGAGGACTCCGGGGAGCTTTGGGGCCGGAGATACCGCGGGCTGGTAACTGCAGCTATGATTCGGCCTGGGCCGGGAGACCCCGGCGCGCCCCGGGCCGCCCCCTGGAGTAGGCGCCTTCGGGGTCCGCCGCGACAGGACTCAAAGCTCTGCAGCCCTGACCCTTCTCTGCCCGCCACCTGCCACGGGGTCGGGGGCTTTCCAGCCCTCTAGCTTTTCCCCGGGGGTACGAAGATAGAGCGCGGTACGAAGCATACTAGATACATTCCAAATATTTATCTTAATTGCTGCAGTCCCTTGAACAGGAATTCGGATCCCACTTTGTAGAGGAGGGAACGGGAGCGGGGAGGTTAAGTGTCTGGCCAGAGGGCTGGGAGGCCAGAGCTCAGCTGCGGGAGAGAATGGTCGGGAGTGGGGCCGCCGGCCTCCCACTCCCGGACTGCCTGCAGACCCCTGGCCTGGTCCAGATTGGCCGAGGGACTTCTGTCCTTCCCCCTTCCTGTTTCCTTCTCTCATTAAGTGTTGGGCGGTTTAGGGAGTGCCTTCCACGAGCATCAGGTCCTCCATCCGAAAAGGGTTAAATGAGACAGGATTCCTGCAGGCCTAAGATAGGACTGACTCTTTGAAGGGAACTGTCCCAGGATACAGATAGGGCACGAATATTTCCCCTTCTTCCTCCTCTTCTGAAAAAAGAAATCCTAACTAAGAAGATGAAGGGACTGAGTTATTACCACTTCTCCACACCTTCGTTCAGGTAGTTTCCATCAGCTGGATCTGAGCAGGAATCAGAACAGACCGCCAAATGTGAGATGGGGAAGGTCTGTAAGAGGTAACCTGGTATAACTCTTTTCATTTTACAGACCTTAAAGAGGCAGAAGCATCCTGCCCAAGATCAGACATCTAGCATAGTGAGTGGCCAAGAGCACCAAAGCTTTGGAGTCAGTCAGACCAGGTTTTGAATACGAGCCCTTTCATATACTGTGTGACTTTAGGCAAATTACCGAACCTCTCTGAGCTCCAGTTTCTACATATGTAAAACAAAGTTAACACAGCATACCTCAGAAGGTTGTGATGAAGTTGAAATGAGATAATTGGCTATGATGTGTTTAGGACAGTGCTGGCGTGGCACATATAATTGGTTGGTACCTAGTAGCTCTTAGTACTGTAATACCGTCATTATCGTCATCATCAAGTAGCAGTGCTGCTACCTATTCTAGAAGCCAAGTCTTTGGCATCCAGTATGAGTTTGCCATTTAAATAGCATTTCAGTCTCCAAAGTTATATCATATATGCTTTCCTATTTGATATAGGCAGAATAGGAATACATGTATGTATTTTTTTTAAAGGTAGAAGTGGAGGAGGTGAAGAGACTGGCCCAAAGTCACCACCTTGCGGAGGCTCAGCCCTCCGGCCTTGCTAGATCATACCCACCACATCATCTCCCTCCCTACCTCAATACGAATCTGGTCTTTTAGGGCACACTATGCCTCCTTCCCCTACAGAGACATTGTTCTTCCTCAAATGTTTTTTCAAGGATGAGTCATTCATTAATTCAACAATTCTTTATTGAGGCCATTCTATACACCAGGCACTGTTTTAGGTGCTAGGGCTATCTCCATTATGAGATAAAGTCTTTGCCCTTGTGGAGCTACCATTCCTGTAGGGCTGGAGGGACAAATTTCGTGTAAAAAAAAAAAATTCAGAATGAAATATTCTATGGGGGAAAGTAATACAGTCCCTGCCTCTATCTTCCTTCTGAAGTTGCAGTCTGTTTCCCACCTATGAAATCATCCTCATTAAGGAGTTTAATAGTGCAGTATTTTTGCCAGTGAGCTCAGTGTCCAGAGACCCAAGAGCTTCCACCTGCACCGCAGTTTACCTGCTGATTGTCTTCAGCTGCACTCTTCATGCCTGGAAATGAGCAACTGCAGTGACTATCTGGACTCATTGCCTGCCAAAAGGCTGACTGGAGAGATTAGCTTTCCTCCACTTTCTACTGCAGCAGGAATGCTGCTTTCACCTGTCAGTACCAACCCCCCACCTCCTTCACCACAGTACCCAGGACAGATCTGTTTTTCCTTCCTTCCCTCTTTCTATTTTCCTATGGAGGACAGTCCTTAGAGGAGATGATTTTTTTTTCTCTCTAGGGTTTCTAGAAAATTGCAAGAGGAGAATTAGTGTTGGTTCGAGTCAGGAGAGCCGCCTCATTTATCACTGCATTTATGGGAGCACTGTTGACCTACCTACTCCCAATGGCTTAGCATATGAACATCCCAACCTAAAAAGGAACCTAGAAAAGAATCGGTTGCTTAATGAAAAGATTTCTTTTTTCTTGAGACAGTGTCTCACTTTGTTGCCCCCAACACAATTCATAGCTCATAGCAACCTCAGACTCTTGGGGGTCAAGTGATTCTCTTGCCTCAGCCTCCCAAGTAGCTGGGACTGCAGGAGCCCGCTACAATGAGATGGGGTCTCTCTCGCCTAGGTTGGGCTTTTCTCCAACTCATGAGCTCAGGGGATCTACCCGCCTCAACCTCCCAGAGTGCTGGGATTACAGGTGTTAGCCACTGCACCTGACCTATGAAAAGATTCTTACCTAGCAAAAGGATTCAACTCAGGCCTCTTTAATTTATTTATTTATATATATATATTTTGAGACAAGAGCCTCAAGCTATCCCCCTGGGTAGAGTACTGTGGCATCTCAGCTCACAGCAACCTCCAACTCCTGGGCTCAAGTGAATCTCCTGCCTCAGCCTCCCAAGTAGCTGGGACCACAGGCACCTGCC